CATGAGGGAGCTGGAAGGAACAGGTGAGCTTGCTCAACCTGCATCTGAATCCAATGACTAAAAGCTACGACTCATATTCCCAAGGGAGTCTGCTCTGTTTTCCCTATGAAAACCACATGCAGGTCTCCGTTGGCCTAGTGCCCAGTGAAACTTATCAGTCATCACTCCATGGAAAATTATTTCTTTTTTCTTTTTTGTTTTCCTTCCAGAAACTAGAACTGGCAGAATCATGAAACTCTAGGTCTTTAAAAAATTTTACACATTCCATTAAACTGTATGCCCTTGAAATGCTCTCAGATAAATTTCCCTAGTAAAAGAAGTTTGGATAACTTTTTATATTACATGTACCAGACTTGGTGTATATTAAAGGCTTTGAGGAGTTATGCATGAAGAAAAAGGTTTAACCCAGCAGTTTCTAAACTTATTTGACCATAGATTTCAACTTAATATGTCATTGACTCCCCCAACACCCAACCAAAGGCAGAGTGCTCTTTGAGAGATGTACTACCTGCACAAACAACTTTGTGCATTTGGGGCTGGGGATTCAGGGCTAGCCATCTCTCTCTGGAATTACTGCATTGCTGTCACTGGCTGGGATACTACAAGACTGCTCTCCCCCCCTTTATGTTGGCTTCCCCCCCCATTCTCCACATTTTTTTTTCTGAACACAGACCATTGTAGAACACTTAGTCACATGTAACAACAATAATTAAAGAAAGAGAGCTCATGAATATGGTGGGGAGGCATGGTAAGAGCCAGAGGGGCAAGTTTTAGTATATGCTATGAGCAATGGAACCTGCTAGAACGCAAAGATCTTACAGCTAGAAGGGGACACTAGAAAATAGAAAAGTAATTGCAGCACACCATGGCAAGGGCAACAACAAAGGTTTGTGCAGACATGTGGGAAAACTTAGGGAGGGCAGGCGATTCTGTTTTGGGGGAGTGGCAATAAGACCCTCAAGAGCAGGGACTCAGAGTTGGGGCTTAGAGGAAAGCAAAGGATCCTAGACCAAGTCGGTGTGGATGGGGGAGGAGAGAGGTTTTAGGTAGAGGGAACAATATACCCATATAAAGCAGTAGAAAATCTTCCTGCACTAACAGAAAATGCATAGAGCTTGATCTTGGTAGAGGGGAGTAACAAGGAATGAGTTTGGGGAAGATGAGGCTGTGTGGAATCCAGGCTCACACCTTAAAGTGATTTTGCAAAGAGCCAAATATTCTTCAGGAGAGCAGAGACCCACTGAAGGTGTGCTGGCTCATTTTGTGTCAACTTGACACAGTCTAGAGTCACTGGGAGAGGAGGAAGGGGCCTCAGTTGAGACACCGCCTTTATAAGATCTGGCTGTAGGCAAGCCTGGTAGGCATTTTCCTAATTAGTGATTGATGTGTGAAGGCCCAGCCCATTGTGGGTGGGGCCACCCCTGGGCTGGATGGTCCTAGGTTCTAAGAGAGCAAGCTGGGCAAGTCACGAAGAGCAAGCCAGTGAACATTACCCCATGGCCTCTGCATCAGCTCCTGGCTTCCTGGTTCCTGCCCTGTTTGAGTCCCTGTCCTGACTTCCTTTGATGATCACTGTTGTGAGTGATGTGGAAATATAAACCAAATAAATCTTTTCCTCCCCAAGTGTTTTGGTCATGTTGTTTCATCAATAATAACCCTAAAGAAGACAGAGGAGCATGGTCCAGAAGCTGATGTGTATTTCAGGAAGTTCATTCTGGCAGCAGAAGATGATGGATGGATAGCTGGGAGGGCACATTGGAGACAAGTCCTTCTGCACAGTGGGAGATGGTGAAGGATTGGTGTATAACACTGGGGATATGGAAGGGGGAAAAGGAATTGAGGAAAAGATATTTAGGAAGCAAAAATTATAAATCACAAGGAAGGCAGATTATGGAGGACTAGAGAGAGTTTTGACATCAAGAGTCTGGTTCCATCACGTACGGCATGAATAACCATAGATAAACAATTTGACACAGATTTCAGTCTTCACTGGCAAGCCAGAGGGATGATATCATCACCTCTGTATAGGTCCTGTTATGGATGTTGAATGAGAGATACTGCATACAAAGTCCTGACACACCGTAGGTACTGATGAAAATGGACAGGATATGACAACAGGACCGATGCAGAGGAGGAGGAAGAGGAGGGGGGGCTCTGTAAGAGGGGGGACTCTTTGAGATAAGGGATGAGGAAAGAGAGCTAAATTTACTAGATTAGACAGTTGAGCCTGGGGTTCCATGTGGCATTTGAATGTACTTGTCTATGAAGCAGAGAGTTGTGCATGAGGTTCAGGAGGGAGAAGCATTCAACCAGGGGTAGTGTGAATAATTGCAATCATAGAGATGAATTAGGGCCCCAAGGAAAGTATTTATAAAGCAGGCAGAGAGCAAAGCTGAGGACAAAATCCCAGGACACGCATAAGATCTGAAAGAGTCACAGAAGAGTTCAGCAAGGACAGTGATCAGGGGAACCACAGAAGTAGAGGCTTACAGGGCAGTTATAATTGGATGTTTTCCTCTGTCTCTCCTGGTCCCACTGGACCAGTTTCTCTCCCTCCTACTGGGTCCCCGCAGCACTTATGAAATAACACTCTAAGGCTTAATATTAAAGTATAATTGTTTGGCCAATGGCTCAGGCTTCTTATTTGCTAGCTATACCTATAAATTAACCTATTTCTATTAATCTGGGTATTGCCACGAGACTGTGCCTTACCAGTATTGTTCCAGCATATTACTCCTTTGTTGACTTCATGGTGTCTCCCTGACTCATCCTTCCTCCTCTCTGCATCTTTGTTTGTATTTCTCACTTAGCTCTATTTTTCCTGGCCATTGGCTGAAACGGCTTTATTCATTAACTAACAAAAGCAATGCATATTCCCAGCATACAGAGAGACATCCCACATCAGGCAGTCGCCACAGGACCTATGTCACAGGCTGCAATCAGGAGTGGCGCTTGCTGTTGTCAAGGAAAACAGGGATTCAGAGTGTCCATTGAGTCACTGTTTGAAAAACACTGGTGAGCTTTGCAGACTGCGTTCAGTGGAGTGGTGAAAAGGAACCACAATGCATGGGGTTAATGTAGAAAATGGAAGGGGAATGTCAATGATAATGCATTTTAAGAAGTTTGGCTTCAAAGTGGGTGTGATGGGGCAACCATCAGGGGTGCAAGACTGAAGGATAGATTTGTTCTGGAGATGGGGAGTGTACACAGGAGATAAATGAGCTAGATTGGAGGGGAGGTAATAGATAAGAGATGAGGAGTGAAATGAAGGGGGAGAGGGTGGGGGAGCTCCTAAAGAGCTGTGAGGAGGTAGGAGCTAGTCCAGCTGGAGTGTGAAGAGGTGGGCAGTTATCACAGATCAGACTTTAGCTGTCTTACCACAAGTCACCCACAGACATACTTGAGGGGATGACTGTTCTAGAAGTCATGAAGAGGCAGAGGTTGAAGAAGGATTCACAAGGATAGCAGGAAAACTAATCTATAGGCAAGAAAGCAGGAGATCATAGATCATATAATAGGTTCACTGAGCTGAAAAAAGAGAAGGCAAAGTGGAGTGAGCATAGTGAACACCTTCAAGTATATAAAGGGCCATTCTGTGAGCTGGGAGTTGAGCTGAACTTAACTTTGTGATAGCTAATGGGCAGAAGAAAGAGAGACCCAGTCCTAGTGCCACCTAAAGTAGAGACCGCTGAGGTTGCTGGTCACTGGAGGTGATTTTGTGGTCACTGAGGCTCCATTTGGTAAGGAACTAGTGGATGGGATTCCAGCGTGGAATGTGAAGGAGGGCCTCAGAGACCTTCTCCTTCCCATATCCTGACTGGGAAAGCCCCTCGTGTGCCTGTCTGGAAGCCTGATTAGTGGGCTCCTTGCATGACATTCTGACCTCACTGAGGGGAAATCCCTTTAGCTATCAAGACTGTCTCAGGAAGCAGCAATTTCCAGCAAACATCTCAGGATAATGTAGCCGCTCCTCTGTCATTATGAGGGGGCAAATCTAGGCTAGACAGAAAACACTTCATGAACAGTTGGATTTCCTCCTGAATTTCCCTGTTTGTGTTGGTTCCTAGGCAATCAGACAAGGCAACAATAATCTCAGATCTAGGAAGAGGGTGGAGGCTAACTGCTGACCCTTTAACCTCTCAAAGGTCAGAGGTCACTCCTAAGCTTTTTTCCCCCTTCTAAGTCACAGCAACTCGCTCAAAAAAAAAATTCTTGTTCATAAATCTCACATCCTTTTCTCTCAACCTCCTGGAGCTTCACAGACAACAAATCCATTTCCCATAGACCGTGTGTTCTCCCCCTTCTAAGTCACAGCAACTCGCTCAAAAAAAAATTCTTGTTCATAAATCTCACATCCTTTTCTCTCAATCTCCTGGAGCTTCACAGACAACAAATCCATTTCCCATAGACCGTGTGTTCTAGTTGTCATGAGGTCACCGGGACCCTCCACAAAGCCTCTCTGATTATTTATGTATCTCTGTTCAAGGTCATTACAATAAATGACACAATCATATATTGATCTTCCTCAGAGTCAGAACCTCTCACAGAGAACTAGCTATGTTCCACTATGAGTTATGGCAGCTGATCTTGGAACGGAAGATTATAAAATGGAAAACAAGACTGTATTTGGAGACAGTCAGCACACAGTGTGTGAGGACCATCTTGAAATGTTACAAACAGAGCTTAGAGCCAAACAGTGCTCTTTCTACAATCTTATAAAACGAAAACACAATCCTTACACTTTCATTGTGGTATGGATGCCAGAAGCTAAGGGGCTTTCCCCTGATTATATTGCTTTAAAAACTACCATGAGGAGCCTGGAGCACAGATGCTTCATCTTTCCCCTTGGGGTTAGGTGGAACTGGCTGAGGTTTGAGATTTCTTGAGAGCTGTGGGGGTTGCTCAGCTCTGGTGAGTGATGGGGCAACTGGACAACTGTTGTCAAGGAGAAACCGGGGAGAACCAGATGACTAGCCTGGGTGAGGAAAGAGGAAACTTACTTGTCTAGTTCCTCTACAGTGCCATTCTGGTGAGGACAGGTAGGCACTAACCTTGACCTTGAACAAGACAGAGAAAACAGGAGTAAGCTAAGTAGAATAATTTTAATAATAAGATTTTTCTTTCTTTTACTTTCTTTGCTTATTAAGAAGGTGTCTATAGAGTCTTCATCCAGTAGCTGATGAAACAGAAGCAGACACCCACAGCTAAGCACTGAGCTGTACTCCTGGAATCCAGTTGTAAAGAGGGAGGAGGGATGAGCAAAGGGGTCAAGACTGTGCTGGAGAAACCCACAGAAGCAGATGACCTGACCAAGTGAGAGAACATGGACCCCAGTAGTAAAGCTGGGGAACCAGCATTGGACCGAACCAAGCCCTCTAAATGTGGGAGCCAGGTAGGAGGCCTTGGAAGTCTATGGGATCTCTGACAGTGGAACCAGTATTTATCCTTAGTGCACAAACGGACTTTGGGAGCCCCATGGAGGGATACTCTCTCAGCCCAGATACACGGAGGAGGGCCTAGGCCCTACTTCAAATGATGTGACAGACTTTGATGGAAGGCCTCACCCTCCCTGGGGAGTGGATTGGGGGTGTAATGGGGAGGTTGGTGGGGGACATGGGAGGATGGGAGACAGAGGGAACTGGGATTGATATGTAAAATAAGATTGTTTCTAAATTAAAGAAAAAAGAAAAAAATTCTTAAAAAGGTGTCTATGTTCACAATTCAGCTCTGCTATTAAGTGGAGGTGTGACCTTCAGCAGCTTCCTTAGCTTCCTGGGCTTCAAGTCTCTCATCTGATAATGCATGTCACAGTCAGCATTATTTTAGATGTGTGAGCTAGAGCAGTAGATGATGATCCCTCACTGTGACTTATATTTTAGTAATATAAGAGAATAACACAACCTAGTTACTAGAGTCTGATATAGTTTATATGAACATTGCTAATGGATTGGCCTAGTCCCTAGAGTGCTAGGAAGTGACCATTAGGAGATGGCGAATGTCACAGTTAGGATTTCTATTGCTGTGAAGAGACATCATGACCGCAGCAATTCTTATAAAGGAAAAATAATTAATTGGGGTGGTTTACATTTTTAGAGGTTTAGTCCATTGTCAACATGTGACATGGTGGCATGAAAGAAGACATGGTGCTGGAGCTAAGATCCTACATCTTGATATGCAGGCAACAGGAAGTGGTCCGTGACACTGGGAGTAGCTTGAGCATAAGAGGCCTCAAAGCCTATCTCCAGAGTAACACAATCCTCCTACAATAAAGCCACACCTACTCCAACTAGGCCAAACCTCCTAATAGTGTCACTCCTTTTGGGGGCCACGTTCTTTTGAACCACCACATTCTACTCCCTGGCCCACAAAGGTATATAATCGTATCATAATGCAAAAAATGCAAAATGTAGGGAAGGTAACATAGTGAGGAAATACTGGACCAAAAAGCAGCTGGGAAAACTCCAAACTCTGCATTTCTATGTCTGATGTCAAAATACTCTTCAGATCTCCAACTCCTTTCAGCTTTACTCACTGCAACACATCTCTTGGGATGGTTCCACTCCCTGTTAGCAGCTCTCCTTGGCAGTTATCCCATGGCTCTGGCATCTCCAACATCTTAGGGTCTCTGAGGCAACCCAGGCTTCAACTTCATAGTTTCACACAATGAAACTAGGCCTCCATCCAGGGACACACCTGACACATGCTTGACCTCAGCAGCTTTTTTTAGTCATAGGGGCAAATTGCATAGCCTCTTTCTTCTATCCTTACCTCTAAAGCCAGAACCACATTGCTGAAGCTGCCAAGTTCTTCTCCCCTCTGGGGCTGGAACATGACCCCCTTATTTAGTTACATCTTGATCAGCTTTCTGTTCTCCATAGTTTCCTTCACTGCCTAAGCTTGTCTGTTCTGGAACTTGTTCTGTAGACCAGGCTGTCCACAAACTCAGAGATCCATTAGCCTCTGCCTTCTGAGTGCTGGGATTAAAGGCATGTGTTACCATGACCAGCTCTAAGCTTTTCTTTAATTCCTTTCACAAGTTGGAAATTTAGTTTGGTTGGGATCTTTGCCTGAGGTCTCCACTCCCTTTATTCCATTTGTTAATTGGTTCATTTCCTTGAACACAGAACTTAGTTACATTCCACTTCCTGGTGGTGCTCCTTTTCTCCTCAAACTTTACATTTTGTAATTTACCCTGCTCAACTTGCTCCTTTTCATTATAAATCTTCATTAGAGTTACTTTTATTAACAGAGTCTATGCTCGCTGTCTTGAGATTTCCTCTGCCAATGGAATTAATCCAAATCTCTTTACTCTAGCCCCTGACAGACCTTTTGTTTTTGTTTTCGTTTTTTTAGACAGGGTTTCTCTGTATTGCTTTGGAGGTTGTCCTGGAACTTGCTCTGTAGCCCAGGCTGGCCTCAAACTCATGATCCTCCTGCCTCTGCCTCCTTCAGCAAATCCTACTGGTGTGCACCACCACAACTGGCCTAGGCAGACTTTTTATACAAAGGCAAAAAGCAGCCACACTCTTTACTGAAATATCACAAGAATTATCTCTGGACAACAAAATAAAATTCTTCTCCTCTGAAACCTTTTGAGCCAGCACCCCACAGTTCAAGTCATTCTCAGCACTATTGTCTTCCATGTTCCTACTAGTACGGCTCATTAAGCAGTGCTTAAAACATTCCACTGCTTTCCTCACCAAAAGTACTAAAGTCCCAATTCCTCTGAACAAAAACATGGTCAGGAGTATCACAGCAATAACCCAGACCTTGGTACCAACTTCTGTCATAGAGTTTCTATTGCTGTGAAGAGATATCATGACCATGATAACTCTTATAAAGGAAAACATTTAATTGGGGTGGCTTACATTTTTAGAAGTTTAGTCCTTTATCATCATAGTGTGACATGGTATCATACAGCACACATTGTGCTGGAGCTGAATGCCTTATATCTTGATAGGCAGGCAACAGGAAGTGGTCTGTGACACTGGGAGTAGTTGGAGGATTAGAGACCTCAAAGCCTATCCACACAGTGTCACACTTCCTCCAAAAAGGCCACACACCTATTCCAACAAGGCCAAATCTCCTAATAGTCCCACTCCCTCTGGGGTCATTTTCTTTCAAACCTCTACCACATTTTAGGTCCTTAGGAAATGAGACACTTTCCCTCCAGGGGGATTATGGCTCATCTTTTTCTTTCTGGTCATGAGACAAGTGGTGTGCTTCATACTCCCTGCCATGATAGTACATCCATCAGAGGCCCACAGCAGTAGATCTGCCTGATGTTGAACTGGAACCTCCAAAACCATTAACTAACAGTTATCTTCATAATCATCTCTGGTATTTCATTAGAATGATGAAGAGCTAACTAACTTAGGGTTATTGACAATGTTAATAACTTAAGCAAGTGAATTGTTTATTGTCCATAGGCATCTAAATTAGACCAGTGTCCAGTTCATCAAGAGGGTGAATAGATACTTGCTTAACAATTAGATTTTTTTTAAAATGAGAAATGGGGGGCTGGCGTGATAGCTCAGTGGTTAAGAGCACTGGCTGCTCTTCCAGAGGACCTGAGGTTCAATTCCTAGCACCCACATGACAGTTGACAACTGTCTATAACTCCAGTTCCAGGGGATCTGACATCTTCACATGGAGATATGTACAGGCTAAACACCAATGCACATAAAACAAAATTAAAAAAATAAAATGAGAAATGATCTGTTGGTTAGAATTGGTATTTAACTAATTGTGGCATTTTGAATGTAATTGTCCCTATAAGCTCATAGGGAGTGGGACAATTATGAAGTGTGGCTTTGATGGAGTAAGTATGACCTTTTTGGAGGAAGTATGTCACTCTGGGGGTGGGTTTTGAGGCCTCATATATACTCAAGCCATTCTCAGGGACCCAGTTCACTTCCTGTTGCCTGCTGATCAAGATGTAGTACTCTTAGCTTCTTCTCCAGCACCATATCTGACTTCACGCTGCCATGTCCCACCATGATAATAGACTAATCCTCTGAAACTGTGAGTCACTCTATGAAATGTTTTCCTTTATAAGAGTTGCTGTGACCATGGTATCTTTTCACAACAATAAAAACCCTAACTATGGCACTCATAATTAAAGTTTTTTAATTACAAAAGAAGTATCTGCATATAAACAAATAAGCATGAGAAAGTGAGTAATTTGGTAAACAAAAATCCCAGGCAATCTAATTCTGTAGTGGTAATTGTTATTAGCAATTTGGTACATCTGCATCCAGATAATTCTTTGCTTTTTGTACTGGTTAGTTTCAATTGTCAATTTACCACAACCTAAAATTACCTGAGAGGAGACTCTTAGTTGTGGGATTATTTAGATCATATTGGCCTGTGGCCATGTCTGTGGGGGAATTGTCTTGATTGTGACCCAGCCCACTGTTGATGGGACTATTCCCTAATCAAGTGGCCCTGGGTTGTATAAGAGTGGAAGAGACTGGCTAGGCAATAACTGAGCAAGGACCCGTGACTTTATTCTCTGTCTACTCTTGACTGTGGATGTGATATGTCTAGTTGCGTGAGTTCCTTCCTTGATGTCCTCTCAATGATGGACTGTCACCTGAAATTTGTAAGCCAAATAAAGTCTTTCCCCCTCCCTTATCTTGCTTTTGGTCAGGATATTTTATCACATCAACAGAAATGAGACCAGAACACTTTATACCAGAGTTATTAAGGTAGCTTCAAAAACACAGATGTTCATGTTTCAACCCAGAGACTCTGCATTTTTTTTTTAAATAAGCACCCTTTGTGATACAGAAGGAAAGTCAGATATATGTATGGGTAGTAGGGGCTTAATTTAGCATTTCACACCTACTTTATTTGATCTCTTGTCTCTTATCTGCAGTAAACAGTGAGTGGGGAAGGAGGAGGTTGGAGGTACCCAAGGGTACATAATCCAGCATATTTTGTACACTAGAAGAATCAATTTTTCATTTCATTGAGGGGGGGACGATAAACTTGGTTTAACTCTGGCAATATCCTGAACATATGGAGAATAAGCTGGAGGCTACATTAGCCTCTG